CCTGGGCGCTGTCCCTCAGCTCTTCAGCTCAAGGCTAGCGCTCTACCACTTGAGCCACAGTGCCACTTCCAGCTTTTTTTTTCTGTTTATGTGGTGCTGAGGAATAGAATCCAGGGCCTCAAGTATGCAAGGCAAGTGCTCTACAACTGAGCCACCTTCCCAGTCCGGACTCAGTTTCTTTTTTTTGCGGGGAGGGGGTCTGTTCGTGGGGCCTGAAGTCTGGGCCTGGACGCTGTCCCTCAGCTCTTCAGCTCAAGGCTAGTGTTCTACCACTTGAGCCACAGTGCCACTTCCGGCTTTTTCCTTTTTGCTTATGTGGTGCTGAGGAATCGAACCTAGGGCCTCATGCATGCAAGGCAAGCACTCTACCACTGAGCCACCTTCCCAGCCCTGTGTGGTGATTTATTGGGAGCCCAGTGGATGAGTGATAGGGGGCATGTGTGGTGTGAATGTTGGAAATTGTGTGAAGCGTGGGATCTGACATCTATGGGGTATATGATGAGATCTGTGGGGATAATGGTAGAGAATATTGCAGAGTAAATTTTTTCTCCTCCACTCGAATTACTTGAAGCTCTAACCACCAAGGTGACTGCATTTGAGATTGGGTCTTTAAGAAGGTAACTAAAGTTCATTGAGGTAATAATGGTGTGGCACTAATCCAATAGGACTAGTGTTTTTTTTTTTTGTTTTTGTTTTTGTTGGTCGTGGGGCTTGAACTCTGGGTCTGAGTGCTGTCCCTGAGCTCTTCAGCTCAATGTTAGCACCCTACCACTTGAGCCACAGCGCCATTTCTGGTTTTCTGGGAGTTAATTGGAGGTAAGTCTTTCCTGCCAGGGCTGGCTTTGAACCACAATCCTAAGAGCTCACCTCCTCAGCAGCTAAGATTACAGGTGTGAGCCACCAGCGCCAGACTAGTGTTTTCTTTCTTTTCTATTTTCTTTTTTTTTTGCCAATCCTGGGGCTTGAACTCAGGGCCTGGGCACTCTCCCTGAGCTTCTTTTGCTCCAAGCTAGCACTCTAGCACTTGAGCCACAGAGCCACTTCTGGCTTTTTCTGTGTATGTGGTGCTGAGGAATTGAACCCAGGGTTTCATGCATGTTAGACAAACACTCTACCACTAAGCTACATTCCCAGCCCCAGAACTAGTGTTTTCATGAAAGGAGGAATAGACATTAGGGTAGTAAACAGAGAAAAGGATGCAGCAGGAAGCTGAAGGGTCAGGGAGAGGCCTTAGGAGATGCCAAACCTGCTGTCAGCTTGATCTTAGATCTCTCAATCTTGGGAACTGTAAGAAAGTAAATATTTGCTAAGTCACCAGGTATCTGGCATTTTTTTGCCAGTCCTGGGGCTTGAACTCAGGGCCTGGGCACTGTACCTGAGTACCTTTGCTCAAGGCTAGCACTCTACCACTTGAGCCACAGTGCCACACTGGCTTTTTCTGTTTATGTGGTACTGAGGAATTGAACCCAGGGCTTCATGCATGTTATGCAAGCACTCTACCATTAAGCCACATTCCCAGCCCTCTGGCATTTTTTCTTACAGAAATCTGGGATGATTAAGACAGGGCATGATAATGGGTTATGGGGTCAGTAATGGAACCTCTATTAGATGACTTCAGGAGACTATAAGTTGAGTGATAGGATCCAGGGTGTGAGGGAGTCTGGGGTGAGTGATGAGTTATGGAGGGGTGACTCATTGAAAATGGTTAATGATGGGGGCTGTGATTAATGAGCTGTCCATGGGGTTAGTGGTGGGAGTTTGTATGATGTGAATTCAGTGTTTTGAAGGGTGAATAATGTGGGCCTATAGGTAGTGATGGAAAGAATATGTGGGGTAAATATACAGGATGGAGAGTTGGTAGGAGATGACGGGTGCCTATAAATGATGGGATGGGTATATGAAATATTAAGAAGTGAGCAAGGTGAATGAAGAGGGGTTTCCAGAACTGAATTTCAGCTCCAAAAACATTTTTTTGGGGTCCGGTCGTGGGGCCTGAACTCTGGGCCTGGGCGCTGTCCCTCAGCTCTTCAGCTCAAGGCTAGCGCTCTACCACTTGAGCCACAT